TATAAAATTTATAAAGTTTTATTTAATCCATTCCTAGCAATTATATATATAGATATTGTAAATGATTATCCACTCAATATACGTAAGGCTGAGGCTGATGTTTGTTTTGGGGACAAGTGTGTAATGTGATGACACAATTTGATATGAAACCAAGACGCAAAATTAAATAATTCAAATTGCAAACGATTATCCACTCAATATATGTAAGGCAGATATTTGTTTTTTTTTTTTGTACAGGGATCTTCCGGTTTTCGGATCCACAAGTGAACCGACTAATCCGGAATCGAGCCGGGTAGGATCACAAGGGCGGCAAAGCTCTCCCTCAAGAGTTTTAACACTGCTGCATTCCCAGGACTCGAACTCAAGACCTTTGGTTAAGCTGGAAGAGATCCAAGCCATCTCATCCAAGCACTCTTGGGTCAGGCAGATATTTGTTTTTGATACAAGTGTGTGATGTGAATGTGTTGACACAATTTGATATGAAACCAACACTTTGAAGAGTAACAAAACTTTGAAAAAACGTAATGTAGCGTCGGTCGACTGTGAGAACATTGTGAAGGAAAAAGGCAAATTTTACACGCCAACGGTTCGGCCGGTGAGCCGACATTAAACAACGGTATCAATTATTATTACCCACAGATATATGGGTAAGGTACAGCTCAGCTTACAGTATCGCAGTTCGTACACTGATTACATCGGGCAAAAACAAAACAAGATAAACACACTTTTTGTTATCCTACGGCCACAATACATGTTTCTAGAAAACTTATCCACACTGCAGGCACTGATCTTTTTCAACTCAAATACGCATCACTCTTTTTCTCCCCCATAAATAGAGCAGAATACCACACCAAAAACACAAAGCCAAAATTGAAGAGATAAAAGAAAAAAAGTATGAGTTCAAAAGTAGTGTCAAGCACCCAACAACAAAGCCTGTATTCATCATGGAAACTACAGAAAAAAGCAATCCCAGACCGCGTTTCGGCCATCTCCTTCTCCTCTAAGATTTCAACATCAAAAATTTCATCGAGAGCCCGGAGACCAGCCCGGGTAGTATCCTTCTACGCGCCGTCGGCCGAGACGGCGGAGACACTGTACGAGGTTCTGGGGATCGCGGAGAACGGCAGCACGATGTCGGACATCAAGAGAGCGTACAAGCAGATGGCCCGTAAGTACCACCCAGATGTGTCCCCACCGGAACGGGTGGACGAGTACACGCGCCGCTTTATTCTGGTGCACGAGGCCTACGAGACCCTGTCCGACCCCAACTCCCGGGCCTCCTACGACCGGGATTTGGCAACCGGTTTTGGTTTTGCCTATGGAAAATCCGGCCCACGGAATCAGGTAAATTATATATTTCATTTTTTCTTTTTTTTTTCCTTTTTCTAATCATAATAATGTGCCACCAATCATAATGTGCCAAATAATATTTAGGCACCAATCATAATGTTGTGGCACCAACATAATATGCCACATAATATTGTGGCACCATAATATGGTGCCACATGTGGTGCCATAGAATTTGTTCTGGCACTATAATATGGTGTCACATGTGGTGCCATAGAATTTTTGAAGTTTTAGGGCTTGATTGTTTACAAATTATTTCACTCACTTTTATTTCAACTCAAAATTTAACTCAATCTCACTATCTTTAATATCATTCATATAATTAAATAATACAAACCAATCATTCTTACACATCACATCTACTTTAATTCACTATTCATCCACTCACATAATTTTAACTACCTATCATTTCCAATCATTTATCTCTTACTTTTACATCAAATCAATTTTAATCATTTTATTTTAAATTATTTTAATACATTCTTAAAATTTCACTAACAACTAACCATACACTTTTTTCGTAATTAACCATAGTTAATCAAAATAACTCATTTTCAACAAATTATTTCATAAACAATCAAGCCCTTATATTTTCGCATTTTGTTCTTATATTTTAAGTGTTGCGATTTTAGTTTGATATTGCAACAAACAACATTTTAAAATGCGAGACTAAAATGTAATAAAATTTTAAATTACAATATTTAAATTGTTAATAAAAAAATTCATCTCAAAAATATTAATCAAGAATTTGGGCCAATTTTAGTCCTCAAAGAATTAAAATTAACAAAATATTAAAATTATAGGTGAAATGCTAGAATCTCATGATTAAAATTAATATGGCAAACATGATTAAAAATAAAAAAATTCCTATATATAATCATTTAATTATGTATCCCATATAGGATTACTCATGAATTACGGTTTTACCAATTATTATCGTGGATTTCCAATTTAATTAAACATAAATAAATTATTGTTCAATAGACAAAATAGAGTCGTATATTCATTCATATATATAAATTTATGTTTTGTTTACCAATTATCTCATTTATTATTGGATTTTGTTTATTTTCAGGAAATGAAGGGAAAAGAGGAATGGAAAAGCAGGTGGGAATCACAACTGGATGAGCTCAAGCGAAGGGGAGGGGATAGGAATTCCCGCGGGAGAATGAGTTGGGGCTCCCGAATGCGCACCCAAACATGACCTTATATATTTGACTACTTTATTTTATTTTTTTCTTTTTCGTCTCCTAATTCGTGTTGCTTTGTATCGGTGTCTAGGGCGTAGGAACTCGTGTTTTAGTGAAGTCACTATTTGCATATGTTGTGTATATATATATTGTAAACTAGTTTGTCTTTGTACAGTCAGTTCAAATTTAGTTTAAAATCTAGTGATGTTGGCTTATGCTGTGGATCTTAAGAAGTTGCAGACGATCATGCATGGAAATGCAGTGCTCATTGCTGCTTTCTTTTATTTTCTAAAGTTGTGTTTTGTGTTTAAGTAAAAATCGTGGTTTACTAATAGAGGCGCATAACATTTTCTATTTCTTTAATTTTTCCTTCCGCACACGTGCGCTAACACGTGTTGGCTTACTAATGGGGATTATGGGCATTAAATGTGTTTTTTGAGCTAAGATGCACGTACGATTTTTACAGAGCTTGAGCTCTTCTTTAATGGTGATTTGAGAGTTTCTGTATTTCTTTGTTTTTGATTTCTTCATTCCTTCATTTTTACGATCAAATCTACATGGTATCTAGAGCGGGTTAGAAAATGGCACATAACAATGAAGAACAAAATCGTGAGCTCATTGGCAGAGGAATCTATACGCGCGATATAGATCCACTTGCTTTGCACGGGTCGGATCATCCCGGCTTGGTTTTGGTCACAAATCCGCTTACCGGTGGAAACTATCTTCATTGGAGTAGAGCGGTGAAGCTGGCATTAGGTGCAAAATCGAAGCTAGGTTTCATCAATGGGACAGTGCGAATTCCAGATCTAGGATCTGAGGAACATGCTCAGTATCAGAAATTGGAATTTATGGTAATCTCATGGCTTCTTAATTCCATTTCGAAAGATGATGTAGGTGCTGCCAAGCAATTATGGGATGAATTAGCAGAGAGATATGGAGAAACAAATGGACCATTGAGATATAAGTTACAAAAGGAGATTGCTACTTTTGCACAAGGTTCATTGTCTGTTACTGATTACTATACCAAACTGAACTGTTTATGGGATGAGTACTCTTGTCTTATATCAATTCCTGATTGTGAATGTGGTGCTGGAAAGGCTTTCAGTGAGTTAAACATGGAAACCAAGCTCATGCAGTTTCTTATGGGCTTGAATGAGGTCTTTGAACCAGTCAAAAATCAGATCTTACTACTTGATCCTTTACCTACCATAAACAGAGCTTACTCTATGATTTTAAAAGTGGAAAGACAAAAGAGTCTAAATATGAGTCCATTTTAAAACTCAGCCATGATGGTAAGAGGACCTGTTGGAAGAGGAGCAGGTAGAGGACAAAACTTTGCTCGTGGAAGTGTTGGCAAAAACAATCCTGGACAGCAATTTAATAACATGACCAAGGGTAGAGGGGGACCAAGTGTAACGCCCCACTTATTTACCGAAAATCAGAATAAATTTTTTTTTTTGAATTTATTTCAAAAACAATATTTGAGGCGCTACTCATTTTCAAATCAATAATCAATACTCAAAATTTTCTCAATATTCGGCAGTTATCGATACTCATAATCAATAGAAAATCCCAATAATCAATCAATAATCCAATAATGATCCTAGGGAAATAATCTCTATCAATAATCCAGTACTAGAAAAACAATAGTCAATAATAATGCAATAATATCCAAATTTAGTTCAAAGCGGAAGCATTTATTCAAATTAAAGACCACCACTCGCATCCCTTCCGTCGTGCCGCATAAACTAACTTGCATCCATGAAGAGCAGGTGGGGATGAGCACAATAGGAAAGTCGAGGTGCTCACCGCTATGCAATAATTAATCTCAATAGTCATGAAAACAATTTAAGTATGGTCGCAGCATGTATACGAATCAATAATCGTCCCATCTCCTATCAATAATCAATAATGGTCTCATGTGCACATCTATAACAATAGACTACTGCCGAGCTATATACCGAACGCCTTCCTCGAAGGCCTTACAACGAGTGCCCGACCAGCAGGAGCAATAATCCACCCCGAATGCCAAAACTCACGCCTTGGCCTTACATACGAGGGTCACCAGCCAAGGCTCACGCCCTGTCTGTCAACAATAATAAAGGAGACTACCCGAAGGTACGTTCTATAGCTACGGGGATAACCGTTCGACGGCCAATATAGCTCACATCGAAGGCTACATGGTTCACATGCATACATTGATCATACTACAACAAAAACAATTAATTAAGGCATAGTAAATTTTATAATTACAACCCACCTGGAAGTTTCGGTAGATAATAGCACACAAAAGCAAGCACGTAGGATGAGGCTCGACTCCTCAAACACCTACATTTAAGTGAGATAATTTATCAATAATTTATCCCACTACTCGAATTTAACATAAAACCCATACTTAATAAAAATTAAGATTTACGGGTTTTAATTGGATATTTTCGTGGACTTGGAAC